TCGCATTCTTGTATTGCTATGTACACTACGATCTTATGCGTACGCCGTACAACGCCTACATACTTTTTGGTGTTTCTGTACGTAAAGTATCCGGCAATGTGCTTACGCAAAGTTCTGGTCAATCTATCTACGACAGCTGTCTTGATATCTGGATTACGTTCCTAAACTCGGAAGTTATTTTTCTTCAAAATTGCTTGGAAGAATGCACTCTTGAATTCTGTTAGACAAGCATTACCGAACATCTGTTTTTAGAGCGTTTCAGTATTTTTTCTAATGTTTGCGCGACGTTACGCGCCGCGTTTTATCCTCCAATGGTTTGGTCAATGCGTGTTCCAATAAGGAATCCATGACAACCAGTATATACGAGCAAATTCTCGTTATACTCTTTGACATCTGCATGAGATTGCAATCCAAACCGTCGTCAATATGTGTTATATCATATGTGAATCTTGAAAATTAAGTTTCATTTGGTTGAATTTTGATTCTCACATCACGTGTATTAATATTCCAAATTCGAACATTCTTTTCGCTTTTTAATTTTTTTAAGTAATGTAGAAAGTGCAACCAAAGTGCAAGTTGCAATCGCGATTTTCGGATAAACAATTGGAACACCCAGACACGTAGGAACCTTCGAATCTGAATACTTCTTTTAAAGAGCTGTCTGCGTTGGGTATCAGCCATTCATAATGAAACCTTCTGGGAGTACATACTTGTGCGTTAATAAACGGCCACCCAAAGGCTATTTGAGAATGTTTGTCGTCTTCTCGGGCAAGTAGACCGCCGCAGATAGAGCAATTGCAGCAAGAAAATTCTAGGATCATTGAGCATGACTTCGGGAGTAACTCTGTACGCTTACTCAGTTCAGCGAGTATAAATTTCGCGTGTTGTGTGCAATAGCGATGATTTTGACGAAATCTTTTTTTTCATGTACGTAAAAATCGATCAATTGTTTGACTGGCTTCTCGTGGAAAACATTCGTGAACGCCACACGCTCCAATACACCACGTCAATTCGTCTGATCTTAGTCAAATCGTGCACACGTGCTACACCACGCACAAATTAGAAACGTAAACCGTGGACATTGTCTCTTGTCGTCATCTCGAAAACTGAACTCTTGTTAAGTCTAAAACTGGTGACGTTACTGGCACGGCGATGGTTCGCCACATATTCGTCATTTCACTCGTGTATACTCGATGCTTCGTTGAATGATGACGATTTCGATGAACTTTCATCGCTATATACGGTTGCACACCAATCCAGTTCATCGTCGCCATTGTTATCATCGTTCGTCGTACATTCATTATTTTCATCGTCGTTGCCCTCATCCGTTTCACTTTCTTCTTTAATAGCTGTGCAAAACAAAAATATATCGATAAGACGCTATTGTTGTAAAGTTTCTCCCCTTCAAAGACAAACATTCACAATACAAAGAACAATTAACGTGGTTCAGAAATTGGTAACCTGTAATCAACGTGCTTAGTAGTCAGATATTTTCTAATCCTGAGCCTTTAACGTATTCACCTGCGTAATTGTGGCCAGTAACGAACGGCGGAAAAATCGTATATGAAGTCGCTCTAATCGACATATATATATAAATTAACTGACTCATAATATTCATTTTCCGTTACATGACAGCATAGGACATTCGATGCACTTGGTCGCGTTATACTAGTCGCACTAGCACAGTACGACCAAGTACGTCGAATGCCCTATATTCAAAAGCATAATAATACACTTGAATTTTATCATGGCTATAAAATATTCAATGGAGTTGGGTTGGCGAACGGTGGTGATATTACTGCACTACCGTAGAAGTGTCAAACAAAGTACCTTTTTTTACCTTTTACCACGTTGCCTTACCGGTGCATAAACTTGTAATGGTATGAGAAACATGTTATGAGTAATGATTTCGTCAGCAACATTCATCAGCACAATGAGTACATGCATGAGCACATCCTCCATGGGATGGTCGCGAAAGCTCTTTCTGTAATAGACGAGAACATGGTATCCATATTTAACTTCGTACTTTCGTTCTATTGTTTTTCTTTTGCGCGTCCGCATTGTACGACCAGCGTGCATAAGGGCTGTGAAGGCACGTGATTCAGCTGCTAAGAGAATCTACCAGAAAGATTTCATGAGATCGAAAGAAGAAATTACCTTACCACCTGAGCATTTTCGCTGCACATCTTCTATATCTTCAGGTCCATCGTGGTCATCCTGTAAGTTGTTGTTCAGCATCCTTCCATCGAGACAAGAACGTATATCGCCATTTCTTTATGACTATTACTACTGGATTAATATACGGACTTGTTGAATAATCGATCACTCCCATTTTCAACATCCTATTAATCTCTTCACTGAAAGCATCTCGGTAATTGAACGGTACAGGATAAGATTTGTAGAAATAAGGATCTTTATTTTTCAAAAGGAGTTTATGCTCGTATGATTTGAACCATCCGGGTTTTTTACGAAAAATATGTTTGTACTTCCGGATAAGAGAACATGAATGATTTTTATGTTGTGGATCTAAACTTTCGATTGCGTCTAATTTTTCGTTTAATTCATGATCAGACAATTCAATCGAAGGCCGATCATAACTTGGGAAGAATCTATCTTGTCTATCTTCATAGAAGTACGATACAGTGAACTCAAGATTTATTTCATTTACTCTTTTTATTTATCATGAAAGATTCTAACGGTAAACGAGTCAAAAATTATCCCTACTAAAAATTATTCACACAATGTAACACACTGTAACTCACTTTACTCGTTTTGTTTACGAGTCTTAAAGCAAGATTTTTTCAAAAAGGCGTTTCGTCCAAAACTGTTGGATTGGACTCCTCAGTAAGGATCCAACAGTTTGTTAAAGTGAGTTACAGTGTGTTCCATTATGTGAATAATTTTTAGTAGGGATAATTTTTGACTCGTTTACCGTTAGAATCTTTCATGATAAATAACATCAACGCGAGTATTTCAGTCGTTCTTAAAGAAATTTATGCATTTGGTTGAAAATTTTGCTAGTAGATGGCTTACATCTCTTCGTAAGAGAAGTAAGAGCGTCGCTAATCTATAAGGCCGCTGCATACCACCTTGCAGCAAGGCGTCTGAGGAGAACTGTTGGATCCTTACTGAGGAGTCCAATCCAACAGTTTTGGATGAAACGCCTTTTTTGAAAAAAATCTTGCTTTAAGACTCGTAAACAAAACGAGTAAAGTGAGTTACAGTGTGTTCCATTGTGTGAATAATTTTTAGTAGGGATAATTTTTGACTCGTTTACCGTTAGAATCTTTTATGATAAATAACATCAACGCGAGTATTTCAGTCGTTCTTAAACAAATTTACTCTTTTTCTTTCACCGGAAGACAGTTTCGTTTTATTATAAGTTAGCGTTTCGAATTTATCGTTAAATGTGAAATGTATTAATTCATTACGCACTTCTATATTTGTGTTTAGGATATATTGACTATCTATCCCTAACGAACAAGGCTTCACTAATTTCGGAATTATTAGACAATTCAATTCTAACAATATACTACCTATCTTAACTTTAGCTTGTAACTGTTTTTCGATTCGCGCCGATCTTTCACCTGTGAAACAGGTTGCTTGCAAGCTTATGGCTGGAAAAGTAGGACATAAACTAAAATTTGAAAAGTTACTTAAGAATATAGATTCGGCAAGACAGGTAATGCTGCTGCCGGTATCGATTAACGCATTTACTTCTACGCCTTCTATCATAATAGGAATGGAAGGACACTCACGCAGCGGTCGTTCTTCGGAGTCATTAGCTTCCTCTGACAACAGATCTTCGGAAATGTCTTCAAATATTGTGTTACTCGACACAGTATTGATATTTTTTATGGTTACGGTACTTTCAGTCATAGTATAATCCGATTTTAATGCCGGAACCTTACCTAGTTTCCGTGGTATTTATAATTTTGGAGTAAAAAGTCTAATTGTTCTTTCACAACCTGCTTCAAAGTAGCCATACAGTCACTATTGGTTTCGGAGATCACACATCTCGAGCTCGTTCACGTGGATTGCAGATTCAATGAGGATTCTCTTTTCTCAGATTCGTAGCGCTAATTTGGCACCCTCCTCGGGACCTGTGCCGCATTGATACATTGAAAGGGTGTACAAACTTATAACTGATTTCTAATTAAATTATTTATCATCCGTTGGAAATTATGTATTATAAGATGAATGTTAAAAATCTATTTGAATTTGAAAAGCAACAGGACTGTATCTGGTTTTTTGATGGGTTCTCTGAATGGTTATACATTTTTCAGACAGAAATTCGTATTTATTTTTCTTAGGTTTCTGGTGTTTTTATCAGGTTCCGAACTACTTAACTATTGGGATCTTATAAAATGCTAAAGATTATAATAAATTTTCTGCTTTCCACAATGTTCATTATACTTTCCTCGCGATTCTCTCGTCGAGATTTTATATTTCTCTAATTCGTCTCATCTACTTCCATACGTTCAAATTTATCATCTGAACTATTGAGTATCTTTTTCTTACAGACATATAAAAATGAAATTGCTTTTCTGTACGAATTTGTATCTGCTTATAAATTCTTAGCGAGTATATCTATTACTTATGTTTATATTAGTAATTAATTCTGTTACCCGTCTATTGTTGCAGTTGAGTGTCCAGACAGTGATGACGATGATAATAATAACGATGGTAAGAAATATATAATTACGGCTTTTTGGTCAATAATTAACAGTGTTGTGCTCTGCTTGTAGAATATATGAATATTATGCTTATATTTTTGATGCGTTGGTTCATCTGTAACTAGATAAAATGTTCGATTACTGTTTCCTAATGCATAGTGACATTGCTTGTCGACAAAAAGGCCCTAATCAGTTAACTGTATTACTGTAGCGACGTTTTTCTTTTTACTTCTTAATTTGAACAAAATTCAATAGTATATGCAGAAGAGAGAGAAAGTGAGTGAGTACTAGGTAGGTCCAAGGAAGTGGATGATGTTTAGAGGTTCAATATACAGAGAAGAGTCGCAGTTTTATATCCCCTCGAGCTAGCTGTTGGAAAGTACGAATAGCTAAGTATGGCGCGCAGGAGGTATCGTAGGTTACCGTCGTCAGTCTATAGTGAATGGGGGGTGACTCGGCGACAGGTGACCATACGATGCGCTGGAGGTCCTGATCTTCGCGCGCTATACGAATTTGCCGAAACATTTTCACTATGTCGGCCGTGAAGCCATAGCGATATCTGCGCCAATTGAGTAAAATGAGGTCGAGGTCACTTTGAAGCGGGGGCCCGGCCATGAGAAAGTCGTTCAAGCTGTACTTGTCCCGAGTTTGACGCGACGCATCGAAAACAACGCGTATTTTCGGCTGTATCGCGGCAGCCTGCATAACCGCGTGGTGTGGCAGGTACCACGCGTAGGGATTGTTTCTCTCATGGTCGGGGACCCGCTCCATGTGGCCGAGATCATAGTAGGTCTGCATGACTCCGTGTACGCGCGGTTGAGCTGCGGATCACGAGCCAAGCGCTTGTGCTGATAAGTCAACGAGAGCAAGGCCATACGCTGCGTTTCCATACCGACGCGTGGTATCTCTCCTATACGCGGAAGACGTACCTGGTAACGACCATCGCTTCCTCGCTTATGCGTTTCAGTGGAAAGCTTCTCGCACGCTTTATCGTCCGGTTTTAGCGAATCGGTGACGGCCGGCACCTCCTCAAGCGTCCAGAAGCGTTGTAGCAGCTCGCTCAGGTCACTATTGACTACGCACCGAAGGACCTTGATCGACGCACAGTTCGCGTGTACTGCCCGCCGTGACGAGGGTTTGTAGGTAGGGCCCGATATTATCCACCCGAATGCAGTGTTTTGCCCGAGCTCGAAACCTGCTTGAGACCCGGGCGTAGCAGCTGACCGTAGAGGTCGGCTCCGATCATCAGATTGATCCGACCCGACGTATAAAAGAAAGGATCGGCCAAAGGTAAAGTTTCAAGCTGCGTGAGGTCCTGTTTTGTGGACGCGCGCGATGGCAAATCAGAGGTAAGTCGTGGTAAGATAAACGCGTTGACCTGCTTTTGAAAGCTCGCGTCCGATCGTGATCGTAATGTGAAACGAGTTGCGGATTTTACTGATCCAGCCGCGCATCCTCCCACACCGGTTAGATTAGTGTGTACGCGATCCCTCGAGAGTCCGAGCAGTTGAACAAGCGACTCGGACACGAAAGTCGCCTCAGAACCCTAGTCTAGGAGTGCCCGGGCACCGACTTCCCTGCCATCGGGGCTTACGACTTTCACCAAGGCGGTGGCTAGGAGAACTGGGCAGTCATCTTCGGGCACACTTTTGTTGCATGCATGTGCCGCGATGTTGCGTGCGCGCCTACTCGTGCGACATTCGCTCGGACTTTCGATTCGGCACTCGCATTCGTGCCATTCTGCGTGCTTTTGGGTGCGGCGCTACTGGGGTTGCTACTCGGTCGATGGAGCGTCGAGTGGTGTTTTTCACGACAGACCTTGCATGTGTACGTCGACCTGCACTTATTGAACTTATGCTGGCCAAGGCAATTAAAGCAGAGTTTCAATTGACGCATGTCGCTCTGACGTTCGTGGACCTTTTTAGCAAGGTAAGTCGAGCAACGCGAAATGAAGTGCTCTCCCGTACATAGGGCGCACCTAGACGTTCTCGTTGGCAAGGATGCGTTAGCGTGATGAACGCGGCGCGAGTTATGGTTCGAGCTGTTGGTAGACGGTCCCTTTTTCTCGCCCTTATCTGCATGAATCGCGAGTAGTGATTGAGCCCTTCGTTCTAAGAACGCGACTAGATCCACGAACTTGGCGAAGCGCCATGGGTTTCCATCTGAGCCGTCGATCGTGATTGCGGTCGTCTGCCGTTCGCGATAAATTAATTCACTCTCCCAGATCTTTTTCGACTCAGGATCTAGACGTATCTCCAGTGCGTGCACAAGCCAGATGTCCCAGTACTGTACAGGTGTTCGTAGATTGGTCAGTGCCCGGATGATTCGCTGAACTTCGTCGACGAACGTGCGCAAATCCACAGCGGACTCTTTCTTTAAGTATGGCATGTTGAACAGCGAGTCGAGCAACTTATTAATGGTTAAGCGCGGGTTGTGAAAACGGTCATGAAGTGCTTTCCAGGTAGAAGCATAGTTGACTCCAATGATCGCTACATCTTTCACGAGTTCCCCTGCGGCGCCTGTCAAACACGACTTAAGGTATTGAGGCTTCGCCGTATCGGCGAGACGCGGAGCGTTGTGTACAAGAGTGCGGAATATGTTCGCGAAACTGTCCCAATCCTCATTATTTCCTGAGAACGACGGTAGGTCTAAGCGTGGGAGTTTCGCGAGTTGGTCATCTGTCTCATCGTCCTCGCGTGTACGTCTGCGCGGATTGTGATTGTCCTCCGACGGGAGGTTAGCGAGAGTCGTGATGAGCCAGTCAGACGCGTCCTCGTAAGCACAGCGCATCGCTTGAAACTCGTTTCCGACTGTGTACGGGTGCTCCTCTGATTCAGCACGTAAGGTAATGTCGTGGTGCGTCTTGCGGGCTTCGGCCCAGATCTCACTGATAGTATCTACACGAGTTTGCACGATGACGCGGTTGAGCGTGTCGGGCGCGCGCTCCCTCATACGAACCCCGATTTGCTCGATCTCGGCCTTCCGATGGGCCTGCAACGCGACTAAACGCGCTAACGCAATAGGCGCCCTTGGGTTTATATATATACGTGTACGTAGCTAACACGATTCGCGAACCCTTAGCAAGGTGGACCTTTATCGTAACTTTACTCTATAACAACACAACAAACTAGCGATTGAACCTCTTTACATCATACACTCCTCACCCGGGGCACCATGAACAAAATTCAATAGTATATGCAGAAGAGAGAGAAAGTGAGTGAGTACTAGGTAGGTCCAAGGAAGTGGATGCTGTTTAGAGGTTCAATATACAGAGAAGAGTCGCAGTTTTATATCCCCCGGATTAGAGAAGAGACTGCACCTAGCCGGCATAAAAACCCCAGTCACTAGTGAGGAAAAGCCTTTTAGATGCAGCAACTTTATTAATAACAAATTACAACAGGTAGAACGCAAGTATCAAATATGTCCGCCACAGAGACGTCACTCGCCTTTAGGCTCTCGCCCTTACAATTTTAGTCGTATGTGCTCGCGTAATCCGGTGGATCATCCGGTCCACTTACAGCTTGATTTAGGACTCGTGAGAGTGGGAGAAAGATAGAGAAAGTGCCTCCGAAATTAAAGGAACGGTGTAGCCCCGACGTCTCGGGAACGGGGACAGCCCTCGCTACAGCGTTACCTGAGTAAGCTGATGGGCACAGAGCCGCGTGGTTGGAGGCACTTCTGAGGGCTGGTCGCGCCCTCACCTACGGCAGCAGGTCTCCCTGTCCGTGGCTCAGTAGCCACGAGTTGCTGGTCGCGATGTCGGACGGTGCTCTCGCCGGGGTCACGACGATCACTTCTCTCGTTTACAAAAAACTGTCACCGCAGCGCACAGAATAATGACAAAGTTCGGATCCGTCAAGGGAGGCGTACGAACTTGAACAAACTGAAAACTGGGGAAAGCGATGCTCGTCTTATATGCGCCAAGCATTCCCGCTTCCCCCCGCATTCAGGGCCCGTAGCGCAAATAGAGAGGCCAAGAGCGCGTCGCACGGTCGGACCCCGCCCATACCGCACCGCTTTCGGTTGTCCAACACGTGTCGATAATGACGTGCAAATGCATCGCACATGCATCACAGCTTATCCTGTCTCGGACGCGGCACAGGTAGTCGGAAATATATGCCAGCTTATTGCAAAGTCAGCTGCGATGCATGTGCGATGCAGCCGCGCTACACGAGGCCCACAGACGATTCGGATACCCAGGCGCAGATACCGTAAACATAATTTCAACGCATATAATAACCAAAATACGCACAACGAGCAAATTACTTTTCGAGAAAATGACGTTATTTTATTTAGTTACTTATTCCATGTTTCCTTACAATAGCATATGATTAAGATTTCTTAATATTTATAACGCGTTAACTCTACTTTCAAAATATACGGTTTTTGCATTATGGTATACATATGACTAATCCTATCTCAAAAACAAGTAGTTTTGAAATGTTTTAATTATAATCAGTCAAGTATATTATTTAATTTTTTTCAATATAATGAAAAATAATTGGGAATCAATTTTGCATTTGCATAGGAAGCAGATGCATCCTACGTACCATCAGGTATTCTTATTTAGTTTCAATGCAATGATATATTACTTTTATATGAAGCTGAATTTATTAATGCTTTTCTATTATTTTTGTGTTCTAGAAAATGAACATTTAGAGCGTCGTACCGAAATGATACCTTCTGATCAAGGTTGGCTGTATTTCTTTATCTTGAATCTGTTTACAAATAAACCGAGATTGATGCAATTAAGAAGAATCTGGATCTACGAACTCTAATGGAAGGTGCTACAAACGATTGAATAAGAATTTATCAAAGGTCTTTATCGAGCGAACAATGAATAGTAGCGGATTAGACTAATTTACATATTTTCGGGATGATAAAACGGCTTATCGTGGATACAATCGAATGGCAAAGGATTATATAAGCGATATCTAAAGATAAATGTAACGGACGCACTTTTCTCATTTACCTGGTAGATATCTGAGGCGCAGAGTCACGTTCGTATATCGTAATTAATGAATTCTGTCGAGATTGATGCAATTAAATAGAATCTGGCTCTACGAAATCTTTTAGAAGGTGCTAGAAGAGAATAAGCGAGGAAGAATCATGGAACTTGATCGAGCGAGCCAAAAGAAGTGGATGATTGTACTAAATTTTATATTTTCTGAATGATATGACCGGTAATGCTGGATCCAATCGAATGGCAAATGATTATATAAGCGATATCTAAAGATAAATGTAACGGAACGCACTGTTCTCATTTACCTGGTAGATATCAGAAACGCGGAGTCATGTTCGTGAATCCTAATTAATAAATTCTGCCGAGATTGATGTAATTAGATAGAATCTGGATCTACGAAATCTTTTGGAAGGTGCTAGAAGCGAATAAGCGAGGGAGAATGATGGAACTCGGTCGAGCGAGCCAAAAGAAGTGGGTGATTCTACTAAATTCTATATTTCCTGAATGATATGATGGGTAATGGTGGATCCAATCGAATGATAAATGATTATATGAGCGATATCTATAATTAAATGTTACGGACACACTGTTCTCACTTACCTGGTAGAAGTCAGAGGCGTGGAGTCATGTTCGTATACCCTTGTGAATAAATCCTGCAATTACGTTTTCAATATCAATTCTTCAACCTTTTTCAAAGGTTCTGGAGGCAATCTGAAGATAGAGGATCCACATTTTTAATCGGTCTGTCCATAAAGGGTTTCGAAATCGACTCATTTCTGTATTTGCTCGTTATGAAATCCACAATGGTTGATTCAATCTTAATCTATAATGAAGC